GGCCCCCTGGGCTTCCTCAGCACCGGGGACAGCAACCTGCCAGGTCTGCTGGGTGCTCTGGGGCTGGCACAGCCAGCGTCATTGGCATCCACGCTGCGTGGGCCCCGGGTCATCCTGCCCAGCACCCTGCAGCCACCAGGGCCTGCCTGACGCCTCACCCTGCTCTGCCTCAGGTAACTACGGCCTTCGGGATCAGCACATGGCCATCGCCTGGGTGAAGAGGAACATCGCGGCCTTTGGGGGGGACCCCAATAACATCACCATCTTTGGGGAATCAGCAGGAGGTGCCAGCGTCTCTCTGCAGGTCTGGGGGTCCCTGCAGGGGAGGCCCTGACCCCAAGGTTTGGGGAGGAGTGGGGGAAGATGCCAGCGGGAGAGCAGGCTGAGGGGACGGGCTGAGTGTGCTCAGCCTGGGAGCAGCCGGGTGACAGGCTTCTGGTTGTCACAGACCCTGTCCCCCTACAACAAAGGACTCATCCAGAGGGCCATCAGCCAGAGCGGTGTGGCCCTGAGCCCCTGGGCCATCCAGCACAATCCCCTCTTCTGGGCCCAACAGGTAAGCCCAGGAGGGCAGGGCTGGGCAGGAGGGCTCTCTGATGGACATCCCAGTGGGCAGTGGGGCCCTTCCTTGTGGCTGTGGTCTGTCCCGAGTCCTGTCCTTGTCCCTGAGCCACTCCATGCTGCCTGGCCTCAGCTAACCAGCTGCCTTTGCCTGTTTCCAGATCGCCAAGAAGGTGGGCTGCCCAGAGGGTGACCCGGCCAGCTTGGCCAAGTGCCTGAAGGTTACTGACCCCCGGGCCCTGACCTTGGCCTACAAATTGCCCCTGACAGCCCAGAAATGTGAGTACAGGCTTCAGGCGGGCCCTGAGGGGTGCCAGGATGCAGAGGCGCTTGCTAGGGCAAGCCAAGCCCTGGGGTAAGAGAGGAAGGTGCAGGGCAGGCCCAGGGCCACGTGAACACTCAGGGGTCCCCAGTAGCTGCATCAAGCATGGGGGGATGGTAAGGGCCAGGGCTTCTCCGCACACCCTCTGTGCACCCCGAGTGACCCCTTGAAAAGCTGATGGACTCGTGGTTCCTCAAGCCCCCAGAAAGGCCTGGGTTGGCAGCACCTGCTTCAACTCTTAGTGGGGTTCCCTGACCCCAACCCTGGGGCTGCGTGTGACCCCCGTCTTTACTTCTTTCCTCCTCACTGGACTTACATCAAGACTGGGAAGACCTGGCAGCCACAAAGGTGGCTTATGGGTAAAGCCTGTCTCAGGGCAAGTGTTGCTCCCCTGCTGGGGTCACATAGGGCCCTTCCCGCAGGCCCCAGGGTGCTCCAGCAGTGCCCTCCCTACCGGCTAAGGCAGGTCCCTCTTGCTGTCTCCTCAGCGAGAGCGTGCTGAAGCCCCGTCACTGCCATCTGTACCCAGTGGGCAATGCACCTGAAGTCTTCGCACGACACGGCCAAGCAAGCACTATGGCCCCAGTGCAACTCAGACCTTTTATTTCTCTTCATGGAGCCAGGGTCACCCCCAGCCGGGCGCAGGCTGAGCTCCTGGCCCCAACACCCAGTGCTGTTGGCAGTCTGCGCACACAAACAGGGCGGGCCCTGGGAAGACAGACAAACACCCACACCTGCCCCGCGCAGCTGTCTGGTTCTCGGGCGCCTGGCAAGGATCTGAGTTGCCCATCCAGCACAGCTGTTAATGCCCAGAGGAGACCCCTCCTTGAGAGTGGGCACCCTCTTTCTGCGTCACCAGGTCTCCCCAGCTCTTGATTGAAGTTGAGTGAGAAGAGAGGGAGAGAAGAAAGAGAATGACGCTGAAGCAAAGGGACAGACCTGGCCCCCAGAGCTACGTGCTCTCCCTGTGGGGCCAAAAGGCAGTCTGGATACATTCGTGATTGTCACTAGGGGAGAAGGGGCAGGGCTGGCATCTGGTGGGGTATGGGGAGGGATGCAATTCAACAGCCCACAGTAGAGGACAGCCCTGCCCGGTGTGGGGCTCTCCAGGCCTGGGTCCTCGGGCCTGGCTTGAGAAAGCACACTACACACAGAGTGTAGAGATGGGTGCTGGATGCAAACGGAGCGCGTGAGTGACCCTGCTCCCTCTGCCACGCAGACCCTGTGCTGTACTATCTCGCCTTCGTCCCTGTCGTCGATGGAGACTTCATCCCTGATGACCCCCTCAACCTCTTTGACAATGCTGCTGACATCGACTACCTCATAGGCACCAATGACATGGATGGCCATCTCTTTGCCACCGTGGACATGCCAGCCATCGACAAGTCCAAGAAGGACATCACAGAGTAAGCATGGGCCAGGATTCACAGGCAGCCCATTGGGGCCCGGGACATGGTTCAGTAGAATAAGCGCTTCCCTGGCCTGAGTTCAATCCCCAGTTATGAAAAAAAAAAAAAAGGCCAGCCTATGCTTTGGGAAGGAGACACTGAGGGGCTCTGCCCTGTGCAGCCACATGAGAAATGGGAGCACACGGAGGAAGCTTCCGAGGGGGCAGGAAGCCTCGCGAGGCTGAATCCCAGCAGGAAGCTGTCTCGGATGTCCTGTGCTGCGCTTGCTCTGGGGGCACCTGGGCTGGATGGGGGAGGGGCAAGCGCAGTGCAGCCTGCAGGATCCAGAGCTGGGGCTGCCGCTCTCTGTCCCCCAGGTGTAGGGAGTCCACTCCAAAGGCAGATGACTTCAGGAGGGGGAGACTGAGGCAGTGGCACTTGTTGGTGGGCGGATGTGCAGACCTCTTCTGGTGGCTGAGGGGCAGAGTTGAGTGCCTGTTTGGTCCCTGCAGTGAGGACTTCTACAACCTGGTCGCTGGGTTCACCATGACCAAGGGCCTGGATGGTGCCAGGGCCGCCTTTGACACCTACACTGAGGCTTGGGCCCAGGACAGTTCTCAGGAGAACAAGAAGAAGACAGTGGTGAACCTGGAGACGGACATCCTCTTCCTGATGCCCACAGAGAAAGTCCTGAACCTGCACACAGCCATGTCCAAGTGAGGGCCTGGGAAGAGGGTGGCGTCCTGGGGCGGGTGTCCAGGGCGCTGGCTCTCCATGCCGTGCGTCCATGACAAGCCACCCGAGGTCTGAGCTTCCCCGACCTGGAGAGAGGGAGGCGCTGAGGGCCCCTGCCCTGTGCA